AACCCATAGGTTAAAACTCAATTTCTTATTCATAAATGTTTTTGTGTCTCACTAAATGGTTTTTTTTAAGACACTTTAATAGCTGAATGGTATTCTATTGTGTAGATATATCTTAATTTACTTAATATCATCTATGTAGGTTGTTTTTAATTTTTAGCTGTTATAATTAAGGCAGTGAATACCCAAACAGTTAAAACTTTGTTCATGACCACAATTAGTTTTTTAATGACATTTTACTAAAAGTCGTATTTCTGGGTTAAGTAATAAGCAAAATATAGAGGCTTTTGATAAGCTTTGCCAACTTGGCTTCCATAAAAAGTATACCTTTTTATATTTGCACCAGCAGTGAAGAAAGTGCCCATTTTGCCACACCTTCTGCATTTCTTAGATATCATTTAAAAAATATGTTTTTTAGCAATTTGATAACGTTTATTGATTGCATATTTTTTGTTGCAAGTAAGGATGAACCTTTTACAGCTTTTTTGGTCCACCCATCTTTCTTTAATGAACTGTTCACTCACATTCCTTTCCCATTTGTTGTGGGAATGTTCATGTTTTGTTATTAATTTATCAGGACTTGCGCAATAAAGATATTAATTCTATGGCGAAAGGAGGGAGAGAGAAATCAATAAATTATAGTGGAGCAATAAGCAGGAACAAATTCGGCTGTTATTTCTCTGTTCACACTCTTGACACCTCTGACACCAAATGTGTGAGTTTTCTACACCAAGCAATTCTGATACCCACCTGGAGTTAATGTAGACCCCACAAGTTAAGGACTCAGTCCCACAAGACTGTCCCCCACTTCAGATGCCAATGTCAAGTAGTAGTTCCTCTGGTTACACTTGACTTCTGACTTGGCTAACAGCCAGAGGTTCCTACAACCATCTCTCTGGGCTCAATAATTTGCTTAAATCACTCACAGAACCCAGGAAAATAGTTTACTTACTATTGCCGACTTATTACAAAGGATGTTTTAAAAGGCACAAAGTGAATGGCCATTTGAAAAGACATTTAGGGCGAAGTCTGGAAGGTTCTAAGCTCAAGAGCTGCTGTCCCTGTGGAGTAGGGATGCGTCACCCTCCTGTCATGTGGCTGTGTTTGTCAACCTAGAGGCTCTTTGAACCCCATACTTTTGGGATTTTTATGGAGGCTTCATCACGTAGGCATGATCGATTATAAACTTCATTTCCAGCTCCTCTCCTCTCCAATCTTTGGAGAATGGAGGCGAGGCCGAAAGTGCAAAACTTCTAATTATGGCTTGGACTTTCTCTGTCCAGGAGCCCAGCAAGAATCAGCTTAGTAGAACAAAAGGTGCTCCTGGAACTTACCCAGAAAATTCCAAGGGTTTGAGAAGTTCTCTGTTAGGACTGGAACCAAAAACCAAAATGTTTGCGAGAACCGGATATAAATATATACATATTTCTTATTTCACAAGTGATAAAATGTGTGGTCAGTTATTTCTTTTCAGAGGCCCATGTCAGCTACCTTACTGACATCTATAATTTTATGGACTCATGCTATCTGTCTAGTCATATTTATTTTACCTCTTGACAATATTTTGTACATTCATCAAAATTTTCATGTATCAAGGCTCATAGAATTCTCATGATGATTTTTCTGCTACTTAATATAATCAACTTTCATTTTCTTTCTTATTGGTCTCCCCATTTTGAGATTAACTGCAGATTCACAGTGACTTTTGCATCAGACTTGCTGGGGAGAATGAAAAGTTGGGTTGGCGAAGGGACTTGTAGCTGATTTTGCTGTCTCACTGCAGATAGAACTGTACATCTTTTCCGCTGTTTTGAGGATAATGCGAAAGTAAATAGCTTTCATACTGCCCATTTCTCAGGTTCTCTGCTTTTAATATGCTCAGCAAAAATGCCCTATTTTTCTGGGCATTAAAAGGCCAAAATGCCAATAAAGTAATGGGCAAAGGAAGACCTGACTGGTGGCTGTGATGGAAAAAATCACTTGGAGGTTTACATATATGTACATGAGGGGTATGGTATGTGCTTGAGTGACATGATCATATGCAAATGACTTGAGCAAATTAAAGAAAACACACTTGTTTGTGTTTCTGTACAAAGAATTCGACTCAAGAAACTTGATAAAGTATAGAATGTGGATGAAAAAATAATCGAGGTGGTAGAAAATTGGCTTCTCCTTTGTATCAGAATGATGCGATTCCTATATTCTCAAGACTTTGTAAAAGTTCTCTGTAACACAGCATTAAAAATTGGTTTTGAAGAGCAAATTTTTTTCTTTAAAACGTTTTGGTGCCAGAGAATTACGTTCTAAAAGCTGGCATTAATTTCAATCTTAATGGATTAATAATGAAACATCAAAGGAAAAGTACATTCTCTCACTTGAATGTTTTTAATGACAATAATGACTTAGGACTTGATAAGAAAGTTGAAAAAAAAATTACCCATTCTGCAGTTTTCATAATAAATGAAAAAACTGTGAAGGAAACAGTCTCCTTCAAGACAGATTCAGAATAGGGCCTATCAGGAAACGATTCCAGCTTGGTTGAAATTTTTCTTCGTGTATTCAGTCAGTTCTTTATTATGATTTTTCGACTAGAAAAAATAATGAATATTTTAAACTTTAGTAAAACATTATGGAAGTGTCAAAATCATTAAACATTGAAAAGCCAAACTGAAGATCCAAATCAGTAAGTGGCAATTAAGAACCTTCCAGATTTGAGGCAATAAGCATACTAAATGAACAGAACCAAATGTGCCCATCTAAAGATGTCTTTAGTTTCCATGTCTTTTCAATATATTTTCCCAGAAATATCAATACTGATTCACAAAGTAAGTTTTATCTTTCAATTACTTCTGAATTTGAAGTTAGAAGAGGACTGTGGGGCGTATTGATACTATTTTGTATTTCAAACATCAAAATTTACCTATGTTTTTATACCATTTTATATTGAGGTAGCTATATTCATTCACACAGTCATTATTTAATACTTTTTAATTGTTTTGGACCATATGGATAAAAATAAAAAGTTTATAGAGCAAGACAAGTAGAGAAGGATATTTTGTATAATAAATGTGATGATATCAATATTTTGTTATGAGTAATTGATGTTTATTTCTACTGAGTCCATTGATTTTATTTGAGCTATAATTATTCTCCAGGAATATTTTGAATATATGAAACATTTTATGATGACCTGGCTTAGGCCTTACTTTGACTTTGATACTGAAATTTGTTTTCTTTTTATAGTTAACTATTGCCCTGTATCTTTTCAAGTTCTTATTTTATATTCTTTATTATATAGTTTCCCTGTGTTTAACATATTAATAACTTTATTTTCTTTTTTGAAATGTACCTTATTCTGATAACTATGAGACTGTCCTTTGAGCCAGTACAAAGAATGTCCTACCATAAAATGTTAACATCAAATATTAGTAAATTAAGACTCACTTTAAAAATTTCATTATTATAGTTTTAGGGATTTAAAAATAGCATAAGTCTTGTATTAAGATGATCCAAGAAATAATTTCTTACTAGTAAATTCTATACTTCCAAAATTTATTTCATCCAATTCAGATATTTGAGATTGTACATTAAATCCCTAAATTCCTTTTTGAAATTATGTTAATTTCGATTGTTATCAAAAATTTTTAAAAATTTGTTGGGCTACAAAGAAAAAATTGCAGTCTACCCATATTTCCATCACCCTCAAATAGCCTACTTTAATGTGTGTAATCGATCCATTCTTTAAGAAGCACAATCTTTAAAGGATATATTATATTCCAGTCTAATTATGCGCCACTATAACTTAAACATTCTTCATTTAATTTGATAATTCCAGCTTGAATGACTAGGTGAATATGGGGTAAATATTTTAAAATTGGAAAAAGAATGAGAAATATATTGTAGGACTAGATGAGACATTTAGTTGTGATTTGAAAAGCTCCTGCTACATGTCAGTTTTGTGGTTGGAAATAGTGAGTTTGAAAAAGAATTCTGGCCTTCGTCTTTTGGAGGTGACTGGTGTAGAGATCTAGGTGGTTGAAATCTTTACCATAGGTGGGATTATTGAGGAAGAGCTTAGGAGGCACTCTGCTTTCTCATTTTTATTGACAGACTATGTCATTTCACTGCATTTCATCAGGTTATACTTTAAGCTTTCATTTCTTCCTTGCTGTTTTAATAAAGATGGGCAAGCGTTTGTGTAACTTAAAAATGTTTATTCGAAAGCAGTCTTTTATGCAGTTGATGACTGCAATTCTGAAATCAAAGTTTGCATATACAACTAACTAATTAAACAATATTGCTTGAATAGTATTTACCAGCTGCATTATGTATGGTACAGTATTGTGAAAACATTTCTCATGCTGTTTATCTCCACTTTGTCTCACAGATGTTGAAGGTTGAAACTCTCTAGCGGCTCTCTGAAAATGAATACCTTTTTCTGCTGACTTTGTATCATCAGGATTTGTTATTGTTTTGTGAATAAAAGGATGTACCATTAGTCAACATGAAACTATTAATAATGTTGCAAATTCCTAATGAAAAAAAGGGACAAATGAGTTATATTTATTTGTTTTGATTCCCGCTGTTACTGTTTT